AATATTTCTTAGTTGCATTGACAAGTTCTCAAAATTCGCACAATAATGGATGTAAAACCGCCCATCATTCAGCTGTTGAATTTATCCCCACAGACTAAGACAATTTATTGCGATAGCGAAGCTTCTTTTAATTCAGAAACTATCCGTGCGCTGTTAACAAACGGGTACGAAGTTGTGAACGACTTTGTGAACCCGCCACCACTACAGTTGCTCAAATAGCCAAGTCGAACGTTTTCACGGCACACTCGCAGACATAGCCAGAGCATTTAGCCTAAAAAAAATTTCTGACGATACAGTCGAATTGAAGGGCAACAATCGCGTACAACCGATCCATACATTAGAAATAAAATTGCAAAGGCCCAGCACGATAGCATTGAAAGATCCAAACCGAATAGACAAACCAGGGTATTTGAGGTAGGCGAAAAAGTTTTCGTAAAATATAACAGAAGATTAGGAAATAAGTTAACACCGCTTTGCACAGAAGAAACAATTCAAGCAGACCTGGGAGCGTCTGTTCTTATTAGAGGGAGGGTGGTCCATAAGGACAACCTCAAATGATTGTTGCTCTCAAGTAAAAATCACCACGAGGCAAATTTAAATGATGCGAACAATAGGCAGGTAGTCATTAATACACCAACACAGACACAAATTAATAAACATACCGACACGGTAAACGAAATAATTAAAGCTAAAAAAAAAAGAATTGGTTGACACAATTACTCTAGCTAAAGCGGGTATAATAGATCACAATATTTTTGATCACGATGATTTGAAATCAATTATAAATGAACATCCTGTCGAAGTTCCCATAGTTAGCCTAACCGGAGCATCTAAAATCAAGGTCCTCCAGACCGAGAACATTGTCCGTATATTAATAGCTTATCCTAGGGTCAAGCTCATCTGCAAGAAAATCACCAGCTTCCCGGTGGCACACCAAAAGGTCACACTACAGCTACAAGATGATACCATAGCCGAATGCGACGATGACATTCTAGCGGTCAATGTGTGCGTAACGACGACCTACGAAGCCGTCTGTAAATTGGCAGCGCAAGACACTTGCGCTCGAGCACAGCACGCCGCCAACACAGCCCTGTGCCGCACGCACAGCCCTGTGCCCCACGGCATTATCATTATCAACGAAAGTGCTGCCAAGGTCAGCACAGACGATGATTACTACAAACGGGACACATCTCGTCACCTTCCTTTCTTCGGCCACAATCAACGGCACAAAATATGTTAATCAGCGCGAGATGTTTACTAGATCGCCAGGCGTGGCAGGGTCGCCTCTACTCAGCATCATCAGCTACGATCCAGTGCTAAGCGTCATCCAAAATTTCGAGGACGAATTGAAGGCCGCCCGGTCACATAAGATTTGGACTACAGTAGGCATAATCCTGTGTCGTTGGCATTGGCTTTATCATCGTTTGGCAAAAACAAAGTCCATTTATTGCGACAACGAAGCATCGTTCAATTCTGAAACGATCACTTCACTATTCAAAAACAAATTTAAAATAGATATCGGTATGAAACGCTACTAGTGAGGAGCAGAATGTTAATCACAGAAATACAAAATCTCATGCTCACTATAACGTTCGCCAAGTCAATATCCTAAAGTAACAGTTATTTGTAAAAAGGTCATAATCATTCCTGTGGCACAAAACAACACCGTACTGCAAATACATGAAAACATAGTGGCAGAATGCGACGATGGAATCATGGCTGTTACGGAATGCGCTACAACGAGCTATGCGACATTCTGCAAACTGGCACTGCATGATACCTGCGCCCGCGGAATACACTCGGGCAGCATAGCTGTATGGTACACGCAGCCCAGTTACCTGGAACCAATGACCATAGTGGATGAGGAAAAAATCATCATCAACGAGCAATTCGCAAGAGTCATCATAGATGACGGGCCCATGATGACCACAAAAGGCGCTCATCTCGTTACATTCGAACGCACAGCCATAATAATAAACTATACTAAATATCTAAATCATAACAAAGCTGAAAGCAAGGCCCCAGGCATCGCGGCATCACACCTGCTAAACATCACGGGACACGATCATGTGTTAAGCCTACCACTACTGCAACGGATGAATAAGCACATCCAACATATCATCCAGGAACTCAAGGATGATGTGACATCCGGCGGATCTCCCAAATTCTGGTTCGCAATTGGAGTTTTTGTCAGTCTTCAATTTTTCAGTTTCATCCTCATATATCAATGGTTGATCCGGAGGAACTCTCAGTCAAGCTACAAAAGGTGATCAGCGAATTAAACATCACCGAGGACGGCAATGATCTTGAGGGGGGAATAGTTAACAAGCAAGTTAACCAGCGATCCTCGCAAGAACTTCTCAAGTAACCCGCGCGCCTGGAATGCTGATGTATCAGATATGCCTTGCAATATTCTTAGCTTTAGCGGTTGCAATAGGCAACACCTGTTTATGTCGCACGCGCTTTGCTTACATAATAATTATGCTGAGTCGGTTCGCCGGCCACGAACTTATAGCATGTGCCAGTACTTTTACATTTTATGTATTTAGCTTTAGATTCATATTCATTTCTTTGGTTATATCAGTTTTGTATTTAGCTTATAAGCACTTCTATTTTGATTAAATGCACTACTCCGGCAACAGCCGCATATAATTATATTGTTTATATTGCTAAGTCACAAGGCTGGCGATAGGAAAGCTTTAACAAGCAACCTCAACATAATCATCAATAAGATTGGTGACTACCTTTCTGGACCTAAGCTGCAACCGGCAAAGGATTCTGGACTGGATATACAAACTTTTTTATTGGCTTAGAAAAAAGACTGTTTTAAACTTTTAACGAACTCATCAGAAGCCCATTAAATATGAAGAGCACTAAAGTAATTCTCAACCTTGTAAGAGCTGCTGCTCAGAAAAACATACATTGAAGAATTAACTAATAGTCAACTGCTAACCAAAACTGTAGTGATACTGTTGTAAATTATTTTAAGAATTCGACATCAGCATATGTGTAGCACTCCACGAAACTTCTTTATGGACAGGCAAACATGTTCAACTGTAAAGAAGTGTAGTAATTGCGACGGAAAGTTGAAGGAAATAAAGTCTCGCGTCAATATGTGGGACGGATCGTCCCCGGCCAAGTTTACCAAGGTCCCGCAAACGTAGCTTCGCTCAGGCATTTTAATACCCTCAACCAATTGAAAAGGGCACACCTATTTGTGTAAATGTGTGTAACAAGCAGAAAAAAGCACCACCAGCCCCAAGAAAGTATATAAATTTTTACTCAGCATCAATAACCCTATCGCTGAAACATGAAAGACATGTGATTTTGAGCATAGGTGATCTTAGTGTCCGAGTTTGTTTCACATTTAACTGGTTCCCATATCAAGCAATCAATAAAAATCAAAATCGAATTTCGAATTTCTCGTAGGTATTAAGAGATAGAGGCACTAAATAAGACATGTGGCTTCTTGTAAAGTAAACTCAGATCAAGTATATTTAATTTTGTTAATGTCTTTTTGGAACATACGAATATACAAATGGCGCTATAGAACCATAACATACACTCAAAAAAATGTTTTTTCAAAATCGGTTAAGAAAAAGAATAGAATTGTATTGTAGGCTGTGCTGTGTTCCGTTTTTTCGTAAAAATGTTATTGCTAGTAAGATTAATGGTGGTGCGAACTCAAAACCAGCAAAGATTTTGGATGTAAATTCTCGTATGTGATCTCAACTAATCTCAATTCCACGAATAGAAAAAAACGAACTAAAATAAATAACAACGAACTTAATTACGAATGCATTTCATATAGTGTGGGCCTAGGACCAGAAGAATCAAAGCAACAGCATAATTTGCTCTTCAAGCGGCGAGCGTGTGTGTGCATTCCTATATAAAAGTAGCTTAGCGCGGGGTTAATAGTATTTCTTAGTTTGGGCCCTCCGGACACTCTTACTTGTTTATCTGACGGCTTAAGGTAAGAACATCACTTAAATCCATTTCTGACGTGACTTAAGCAAGCGCATTATAAATCATGCTGATCCTTAGTAAAGCCCCGTCTCACTCAGTCAAAATAAAACTTCTTGATGCAAAACTGAATGCTGGATTTTTTTCGGTCAAGAGCTCATTAATAACAAATAACGGTTGCTCTAAAACCAAATAAAGTTACTCCCTCTGCCGATTTCGAACTCGCAGCCAATTCTAACGAGAGAACTACTTTTCATAGCCTCATACCTTACAGCCATAAAAAAATTGAGTTGATATGAAAAATAACTGCATTTAAATAGCAGCACATAAACAAATCACATTTATAGACAAAAAAAAAAAGACACATAGCATTTATATGGGTGCACATGTATACATAAATTCTTGTGTTTTTTGCTTGCAGCCAAGTGGTTTGCAAAGCGTATTCTTTAATAACTTCTTTGTTACTTAATGTTTCTTAATTGTTTCTTAATGAAATTTACAATTTTCGAACAAGCGCATAAAGAAAACCGCCTTAAATTTATGAGTAGTTCCAATTGATTTATTAATGCGCGTCTTAATTGAATTCTATAAACATCATTGTAATGGCGAATGTATTGTTTTCTGTGCTGTGTATGTGCTACTATTTAAACTCGTTGTTTTTTCATAGAAACTAAATTGTTAGTGTAGCTGTCGAGTAAAGGTGGTGCAGTTGGGGAAACTTTTTTTGATTTTTTGAAAAAAGAGCTCGTAGCGCGAGCTGAATTTGGTGTTGCCGAACCATGCATTTGTCGCTTAACTTCAATGGGTGGTTGCACACAAGAACTTTGTTCGAATGCTCTCATATGTATGGCCTTGCCCAGTCAAGCAACATGAGAAGAAATAAATTGATAAAATGATGTTAAAACCTACTGCGAACAAAATAAATTCTGCTAAGCTATATTTCTGCAACAGTGTTTAATTAATTGTTAACTTTAGATTTTATAAATATTAAAATAGCACACCAAATTAGGTTCTGTGCGGTAAAGTAGGATGCTTACTTTTTTTAGATTTTTCGCACTCTTTTGGACGCCTGCGCCGTGTATGTATAGTATCACGTCTCATAGAATGGGGTCTATTAACGCCATGAAGCTTGAAGTATAACCCACAAGCGTTGCAAACCATTTCTCCTCTTACGCTTCGTCTCCAAATTGTTGTTGTCAGTGTACCACAATTAGAACAAGACATATCCTTTTGAGAAGTAGATAGAGCAGCAGTGCTGCTACATTTTATGCTCTGGAAAATTTGTTATACCTAAATTGGTATATACTTTAGAATAGAAGTATGTAAATACCTTCTTATCTTTTATTCCTTCTGTAATTGCATTGGAAATATTTTCTGAATGAAGACGAGTATCGGTGTCTGTAATATCTGGAGATTCCTTGCAATCAGTTTTAGTAGGAAAACTCTGCTTTCTTCTACATATTTTGATAACATTCGGTTGCGATTCAGGCATATCCTATCCAATAAAACGTAACTTTAATCAAACATTTTTTTTTTTGATTTTTTTTACCTTTAAAAGTGGTATAGGTTCTTCAGGTACTTTTGTCAATGCAATTGTTGACGGCACAGGAAATCCGTAAGTTTGACTCATCATATTCCGTAAAAGCTGTGTTGCGCGACTCTCATCTTTATTTTTAGCTAAAACAATAAAATATAAGATGTTTATTTAGCAATTTTCTTTTACTTTTGTAATTTTAAATATTTAGGTTTGCTATAAAAGCAGCAAGTGGATGGGTTAAAAATGCAATAGATCTGGAAGATATGTCGGAGTTGTCTGGTGTTTTACAACACTACTTATTTTCCGGATTAATTTTTTAATTCGAATTTAATCACTTTCACTACTACCCAAACATTGCGAGCCTATTTCTGCTGCGAATAAGTATCCTACTATTAGCTCTTTGTGTAAACTACATTTGGGGTTGGTAAAAGAGGGTTCAGGGTATCCCCTAGTCGGGAACTCCCAAATAGAGCCTCTTGTTTTATTTTATATTTTTTTAATAAACCTATATAACATATATATATATAAATATATATATGTATGTATTAGTTTGAAATAAAGGATTCTTTCTTTAAATTAAAATTTTTGGTGATTCACTTAATTCATATAAAAAACAAGTAAAGGTCTCCCGTTCGGAGTTCCCGAAGGGGGTACCCTGACCCTACTCAACCAACACCAAATGCAGCTCGCGGTACGACCTTGATTGCTTAAGCTGTAATAAACAAAAAAGTTCCCTCAAACAGTCCACACTACTCGCAACCGCCTCTACTTAACAGCCAAACCAACAATTAATCGGTACTGGAACAAGTAAGAGGTTCTAGTCGGGAGCTCCCGACTAGGGGATACCCTGAACCCTGTTATTCCAACACCCAATGCAGCTCGCACTACGCGCTCTTTTGCTTTAGTAGAAATAAAAATAAATTTAATAAAAAAAATGCCCTTGGCAGGGTTCGAACTTGCAACTGACCGCATTACTTGCTGCCGCCTCTACGCAGCAGCCACACCAGCCAAAACAAAAATAAAATAGTTTCTTCAGCAGGGTTCGAACTCGTAACTGACCGCGCATACCTTTCCGCCGCCTCTACTCAATAGCCACACCAATAATTAAGTCTTAATGAGAAAAAAGCGAATTAAAATAGCAGCACAGAAAACAATACAATCGCAATTGCAATGATGGTGATAGAATTCAAAGGAGACGCGCATGAATGTGTGTGTTTACACACAAACGGGTCAAGTTATCGAATACCGTAAATAAACTCGATCTGCGCATGGACTAGGAGGATCTACAGCTAAAATTTCAAGTCTTTACCTCTTATAGGTCCAGAGATCCTTGCGTTCATACATACGGACGGACGGACAGACAGACGGACATGGCTAGATCGACTCGGCTGCTGATGCTGATCAAGAATATATACTTTATGTGGTCGGAGGGTCGGAGATACTTCCTTCTGCCTGCTACATACATTTGTACAAATGCATTATACCCTTTTTACCCATTTTTGATTGATTTTGATTTGTAGAAGAGTGACCGAAACGCGCCAAGGAAAGTGAATACAATAACTTTTGCACAGCCACCGCTTAGCTCAAAGCGGAACGAAAATACGCAGACTGCAGCTGGCTTGCTTTGTATGCATGTATGCATGCGGGCACTGCAATTATAACCAAGCGCCAATTATATTGCACAATTTTGCCCCTATTATTTTAGCTCCACTTCTATTTTAAAATATGTTTGACGTTCATCGAATAAAGAACCAAAAGTTGGCATCATGGAAACCCCAAACAAAATTCTTATTGAGCGTGCACTTCCACCACATAAAGTAAATACAGTCAAAATTCCAGGTTTCTAGTTATTACGGCTTAGGTTGTGCGTTGATCAGTCAGGATAAACTCGTTTATTTATGGAGATAGACTTTAAAATTTTCCACCTAGTTTTAAACCTATCTTCGTACCTCAAAACAGAGCCGAAAGGAATTTGCCATTAAGGAATTCGCCAGGATAATACAAAAGAGGAATGCATTTTGTGAACCTTCTATGCCAGGCCATAATATTCGAGAGCATACTCGTCATTGGTAAAAACAATTCTAGTATAAAATAGCAAGTGTATGGGTCCATCTTGGGATTGAATGTGAGAAATGGGAAAGTAGGGGTATTTTCGGAAAGCCCAAAATTGAATACCATTGTAAACATTTGACTTGCAGAAGGTATGCATATAAATATCAGAATAGCAAAGCTCGTATATGCTAAGATTAGTGAAAATATCTTGGAAGACAGAATACTCTTCCGACTCTTCCTATAGTGCTATTTAATATAGTGGTGTGATATTGATAAGATTTTTATCATATATTAGAGTTAAACTAAGATATTTGGATAAGCAAAAAAGTTTGTCATACAAGAGCTTAATATTCAACCGATCGTTCTATGGCAGCTATATGATAATATGTATATATGATAATGGTCTGCTGTTGTGTAAAGAAACTTATAAATGAAGAGTTTGTTAAAGACATTTTGAAAAGCAATTGTTTTTCGTACCAGAACCTACTTTACAAATTTATAGCAAGTATAGATATAATGATCGAATCCGACCGGTTCTACTGCCATGCAACCGAAGAACAGCCCTATGAAACCTTTCGAGACGATAACTTAAAAATACAAAGACTATTGCACATAGAAACAGAGAGACTGACGGGCAAAAAGTCGGAGATAGCTAAATTCAACTCGGTTGTTGATGCTGATCAAAAGTATATATACTTAATGAGGTCGGGGAAGTCTCTTCTCAAGCGTTAAACATTTTATGACAAAACTTTAATAGCATACAATTGTACAAAAATTAAACTTTTAAAAGAAGGCATTAGTGCCACAAGCGTTTTGCGCAAGTTGGTCGGAGAAGGCTTTAGGTTCCAGCGGGCATAACGGTGAGAATTAGGTAACTAAAGGAATCTCAAACTAAAATAAAAAAAATCGTTTAATGCTTTAAGGAAAAAGTTCATAGTTTATGGAGACGATGCATCTAGAACAGCTATAGGGTTAGGTGCTCCGCAGATGCTTGGTGGGCTTCTGAAGGAGATACATTGTGCGAAACGCGATGGAACGCTGAATATCAAAAGACAACAACGATAAATAGTAGAGGCACGCCTGGAGCTTGAGTATTTAAAGCGTGATTAAAGGCAGGTTTGTCTCAGAACTCAAGAAAATAGACTAGACAGCAAATGAAGCCGAGCTATATGTTTTCTAGCATACAAATCTGAACAGTAGATTGATATTTCTCTTAATTACCCAACTAGAATTTTAAGAAGCATAGCTCCGGGATAAATATTTAAAGCCTTGAGAGTGATTCGTAGAACTCACCCACAGCCTTCAAAGGTCGGTGGATCGCAATGAAGTGTTTTAAAATTTATAGAGCCTTCAAATCTAGGAATGATCGAATTCAGAATGTGTAATGCGAGTGAACCCTATTAGTGCTTGTGACCATTCTAGTATCCTTATAGGGACCGCTGAGTGTGGCATTGGAACGCCGAGTCACGAGAGTCAAACGATCAGTAGCAAGTCGTATCTGGCCCAGTGCACAACGCAGCTGCGACTGATGTTAGTTTTGAATTTCATACAGCCCAGCGACATATGCATATACAGAGTGTGTCTCGCTCTCACTTATTGTGTGGGCACTAGGATTTGAAAATATCAAAATTTCAATTTATCCCGTCTTTCAATAAGCCCATTCTCACATGTGTCCCACCTGGCGTGACAGTCAGACAGAACACACTCTTTCACCAATCTCAAGCACTCACCAAGCACTCAACTCTCCACGTCCCTAACCATTGAATTCTGAACATCGAGGTTGGACGCCTGATCTCCAAGTCAAAAGGGGCTACTCCTAACAGTACCTGCATAGCCTCTGTGTAGGCAGTGTGGCACACAGGTAAACAACCTAGTAAGATCGTCCTCTGACAAGCCAGCACTTTCATTCTGCCAATAGTAGTCATAACCGCCTTACAGCACACTGACGATCTATATGTGGAACAAGCAGTAAACAGACCTTTACTAATGGAGCACAGGCCCCAGTCACTTCTGGGGCACTGTCTTGTCCATTGCAGGCTGACCCCAACACTTTCACCCCACTCATACACAGTCCGTATGCACATATCCACATTCGTCTCGATCTCAAGACGCGACCGACCCTCAATTAAGACGAGCAAGTCGTCCGTATATGCACAACATTTACACATCTGATAGAGCTGCCCTGCCTTTGGTCACTCACTCTCTCTTGAGCCTTTCTGTCATTATCCTTTCCAGGACATTTCCAAGAACCGGAAGAAGACTAATACCCCTAAAAGATCGAAGATTGCTCCTGATCCTGTCGAGCGACTTCAAGAGCGCTATCGCTCTCGCACACTTCTATTCACAGGGAAAATAAACCTCATTCCGACATTTCCCATTCGTGTATTCTGAAATTGACTTCCAAACACTCTTACACATTCCAGTTAATCCATCCATTCCCCAAGCTCAAGAAAGCCACCTTAACTCACGATCCGGAAGCGGATCAACAGGATTAACCTCACTAGGTGGTGAGTCCTGATGATCCGCCCTGGGGAAGAACTCATTCAAAAAGACATTCATATAATCCCTCTTATGCCGTTAACGGCACGTAAGCTACTCAAATCCGTTTCCCTGCCCCTACCTCTACTATTTTATAAGCACGACCCCAGGGGCCATCCTCTACAGGAAAGAGCGCCACACATCCTCTTTCACTTTTTCAAGCATTTGCTTAACTCATTCATACATTGACTATATTCAGACCTGAGTTGCGTTGCTTCATTCGCGTAGCTCTGGCCCTTTGGAATCGCTTCCGCAGAGACCAGACCATCCGCCGCTTGGTGCCCACTACTTCACATGTTTGAGGTTGACTTTACGGTACCTTTCAAGCATGCGATCATTCGCACCAGTTATCCACCTATTCACAAATACGACTTGCTCATCCACAAATAATTCAATGAATGCATTAAGCGGAACGTGCGTGCCAAATCAAGTATTCCAAAAATTGTGACACGAGTCATATATATATATCACTCGCACCGCCACCGAAGTGTCAATTTATAGTGCATATAAATACATATATTTTTATATTTATTACATATTTATATTT